TAGTCTGTTCATGCCTCGTCAAGTCTGTTCATGCCTCGTCAAGTCTGTTCATGCCTCGTCAAGTCAAGTCAAGTCTGTGTCTCTAGTCTTCGTTTATTGTTTGGACGTTTGGATCACTGTAAATAAACTGCACTTGGGTTCTTCACTACGCTCGCCTTCAGTGGACTGATTCGTTACAGTAAGTAGTAGATGTGTTGGGGAAGTAACACGTAACATTTTAATTATATTTTGCTAAAATTAACGAAATGACTCGAAAAAAGATTCGCTCATTTTGCTGAACGAGACTCAAAGGTCCGAGTCAGTAAAATGATCCGAACTTCCCATCACTAGCTTCTATTGTCCTCATTTGTAAGTTGCTTTACATAAAAGCGTCTGCTAAATGACAATTTGAATATAATGTAAATGTAAATAACAAAACTAAATTGATTTTTGTTTTAAAATGTTTAAAACAAGCCCCAAATCAAATAAATAACACAAATAAAACAAATCTCTTCATATAAACAAACTAAGGCTTTGTCTGTGCTCTTTCCATTTAAAATTAGAGGCAATCACTGCATTTTAATCATGATCCAAAAAAAGATGCTGCGTACATGCAACATGAGCAGTTTTAATCTAAATTGGATTGTATAATTTCAAAATTTGAAGCAAAAACATAATGGTTTGTGTAGGAGCCATTTATAGGTTTTGTCATATTGTTTTATGTTTTCCTTCTTACTTGCATGTTTTCTGGAGTTTGTGTTTAAATCAAGTAAGGGTCACTGCAGTTTGACTTCAGTTTTGTGAAACTATACTTAAAAACATCTGCATGAAACAGAAACAACAGAGGAGCTGAATGAGATGCAGATTCACTCTCTGCCAGCAGGTGGCGCTTAAAGCATTTCCTTGGTTTCCGCTGTAAACAAAGCAGCGCTGCACTTATGAACTTTAAAGGGGTCATATGATGCTGCTAAAAATAACATTTATTTGGTGTAATGAAATGTTTATGCGGTTTAAAAAACACATTATTTTCCACATACTGTACATTATTGTTTCTCCGCTATGCCCCGCCTTTTTGAAACACGTCGATTTTTACAAAGCTCATCGGTCTGAAAAGTGAGGTGTGCTGTGATTGGCCAGCTATCCAGTGCGTTGTGATTGACCGAATACCTCAAGCGTGTGTCGGAAATGTTACGCCCCTCACCATACTGTGATGATGCCGTATCCGGCCGGAGCGACGAGACAAAAACATTAAAACCCATTATAAACGAGGCATTTGTTGCATCCAGTGGGGACATAATTACTGATTATAATGACTTATACTGTCTTTTTACGCATTGCGTTGCATCGCGCTGCGTAAACATAAAACCATGTCTGCATTTGTGATCGGAGAAAAAGAATCGCAATTTGTTTAGCATCTCAACCGATTTGAATCGTCACATATTTGAATCGATTTTCAACCAGCTCGCGGTTAATCGTTACATCCCTAGTCTTTATCCATTTAAGTAGATACAAGCTGTACTCACATGACTGGAAATAGCCTAGAGGTGACACCATAAATGACTGCAGAGTGCCCTGACTTGCTTTAAAAAGGCATTTGTTAATCCTCGACATGGACAGGTGCATATGCAAGGCTCGATTACTTTGTGTTGTTGCTTTTGAGGCTGGAGGGATGTGTGTACTGTCAGGAGATCATTATCCCTACAGTCATCTGTTTGCATCTGTTCACAGAAAGCAGCAGTGGACTCTCTCCACCTCCACATGGCCCACGCGGCTGCTAAACTGGTTCTGATCCAGCCAGAAGCTCACACAGAACTGAGGCAGGTGCAGCAACACAACTAGGCCCAATCTCTAATCTGTCTCAGTATGGGAGAAGGTTTGGCCAAAGGCCTGCCGGGTTATATAACACAAGTACAAACATGTTGAGGGAGACAGATAAGTCACTTTTTATTTGATGTAAACAGGACAACGCTGGCTTAGACTCTTGTCTCCTGTCCTTACGCGAGACCTCTAAAACTAGAGCTGAGAGAATGAGCCAAATCTAATACACACACACACACACACACACGCACGCACACACTCGCACATTACAGGCAGAGCGGCATGACTTTGGGCACAGATATTTCACACTCTGAACCATATTTAGCAATGGGTGATGATCACACCGTGAAATAGGACAGGCCAATGTGAGATGATTCCGGTTGGAATAAAATGGATGTATTGGGCAGTTTCTTCTCTTTTTTTGTGATGTGCTGATACTAAAATTCTGGCCAGTACTGATAAGCCCGGTAATGCCTGCTTTTATTAAGCTATACTATATTTAAAAAAGAAAATCAAAACACACTAAAACTAAATAAGGTGAATAAGTACATTTAAACATCACAATTACACTCTTAAAAATAAAGGTGCTTGACGATGCCATAGAAGAACCTTTTTTTTGTCTAAATGGTTCCATAAAGAACCTTTAACATCTGAAGAACCTTTCTGTTTCACAAAAGGTTCTTTGTGGCAAAAGGAGGTTCTTCAAATTATAAAAAGGTAAGAAAGAGATTGTTCTTTAAAGAACCTTTGACTGAATGGTTCTTTGTGGAACCAAAAATGGTTCTTCTATGGCATCGCTGTGAAGAACCTTTTAAGCACCTTTATTTTTAAGAGTGTAGGCTGCTGCACGATTTGGGGAAAGAATATCATTGTGATTTTTCCTGATATTGTGATTTAATGAAAATTCCAAATAAAAGTTTTAGGTTTGCTGCACTTTTTCGGACTGCACAATAACTTAATTTTACACTGCAACTATAAAATTGCAGTACTAATATTTGTCTTAATTTATATTACAATTTATGTCTTCATTTCTTCATTTTCAAACATTAAACCATGAGATTTTTTTACATTTTTAAATGACAATTATATTATCTACAACATACAGTGATGAAGATGCGCATTAGATTTGTAAGTGATGCTTTTGTTACATATTTAATGTTCTCGTGCTGGCACAGATAATTATGGGAGATCTGAGTTTTGTCGTGCAAGCCTGTCACTTCATAAACCAGCTAAATGAGTAGTATATTCTTGCACATTTCACTGCTAATCTTCAACAACAGTGCACAGTATGTTTG